TCGTCACCGGCGCGACACCTTGATCTCCATTGTAGCATCGTTGTCGTCTCGCCAATCTTATGCTTCCACGACTATCGCTACCGCTTAGTGATAAAGTAAAGCATTACAGCGCGATTGCATTGCATACAATAAAGCGACAACCATATGGCTCCTGCCAGTTGCCGATAACTCGGTTACAAAACATGATCATCTCATACAATAAAATTCAGCATCATGTCTTGACTATATCACATCACAACATGCCCTACAAAAACAAGTTAGACGTCCTCTACTTTGTTGTTGCAAGTTTTACGTGGCTGCTACGGGCTTAAGCAAGAACCAATCTTACCTACGCATCAAAACCACAATGATAGTTTGTCAAGTTGGTGCTGTTTTAACCTTCGCAAGGACCGGGCGTAGCCACACTCGGTTCAACTAAAGTTGGAGAAACTGTCACCCGCTAGCCACCTTTGTGCAAAGCATGTCGGGAGAACCGGTCTCGCGTAAGCGTACGCGTAATGTCGGTCCGGGCCGCTTCGTCCAACAATACCGCCGAACCAAAGTATGACATGTTGGTAAGCAGTATGACTTATATAGCCCACAACTCACTTGTGTTCTACTCGTGCAAATAACATCAACACATAAAACCTAGGCTCGGATGCCACTGTTGGGTAACGTAGTAATTTCAAAAAAATTCCTACGCACACGCAAGATCATGGTGATGCATAGCAACGAGAGGGGAGAGTGTGATCTACGTACCCTTGTAGATCGGCAACGGAAGCGTTAGCACAATGTGGTTGATGTAGTCGTACGTCTTCACGGCCCGATCGATCAAGCACCGAAACTACGACACCTCCGAGTTCTAGCACATGTTCAGCTCGATGACGATCCCCGGACTCCGATCCAGCAAAGTGTCGGGGAAGAGTTCCGTCAGCACGACGGCGTGATGATGATCTTGATGTACTACCATCGCAGGGCTTCGCCTAAGCACCACTACAATATTATCAAGGACTATGGTGGAAGGGGGCACCGCACACGGCTAAGAATATGATCACGTGGATCAACTTGTGTCTCTAGGGGTGCTCCCTGCCTCCGTATATAAAGGATCAAAGGGGGGTGCGGTCGGCCAGGTGAGGGCGCGCCAGGAGGAGTCCTACTCCCTCCGGGAGTAGGATTCCCCCCTTTCCTAGTTGGAATAGGATTCGGGAGGGGGGAAAGAGGAGAGAGAGAAGGAAGGGGGGAGCCGGCCCCCTCTCCTTGTCCTATTCGGACTAGGGGGGGAGGGGCGCGCGGCCCAGCCTTGGCCACCTCTCCTCTCTTCCACTAAGGCCCACTAAGGCCCATATACCTCCCGGGGGGTTCCGGTAACCTCCCGGTACTCCGGTAAAATCCCGATTTCACCCGGAACACTTCTGATATCCAAATATAGGCTTCCAATATATTAATCTTTATGTCTCGACCATTTTGAGACTCCTCGTCATGTCCGTGATCACATCCGGGACTCCGAACAAACTTCGGTACATCAAAATGCATAAACTCATAATATAACTGTCATCAAAACCTTAAGCGTGCGGACCCTACGGGTTCGAGAACAATGTAGACATGACCGAGACACGTCTCCGGTCAATAACCAATAGCGGAACCTGGATGCTCATATTGGCTCCTACATATTCTACGAAGATCTTTTATCGGTCAGACCGCATAACAACATACGTTGTTCTCTTTGTCATCGGTATGTTACTTGCCCGAGATCGTCGGTATCTCAATACCTAGTTCAATCTCGTTACCGGCAAGTCTCTTTACTCGTTCTGTAATACATCATCTCACAACTAACTCATTAGTTGCAATGCTTGCAAGGCTTATGTGATGTGCATTACCGAGAGGGCCCAGAGATACCTCTCCGACAATCGGAGTGACAAATCCTAATCTCGAAATACGTCAACCCAACATGTACCTTTGGAGACACATGTAGAGCACCTTTATAATCACCCAGTTACGTTGTGACGTTTGGTAGCACACAAAGTGTTCCTCCGGTAAACGATAGTTGCATAATCTCATAGTCATAGGAACATGTATAAGTCATGAAGAAAGCAATAGCAACATACTAAACGATCGGGTGCTAAGCTAATGGAATGGGTCATGTCAATCAGATCATTCACCTAATGATGTGATCTCTTTAATCAAATAACAACTCTTTGTCCATGGTTAGGAAACATAACCATCTTTGATTAACGAGCTAGTCTAGTAGAGGCATACTAGTGACACTTTGTTTGTCTATGTATTCACACATGTATTATGTTTCCGGTTAATACAATTCTAGCATGAATAATAAACATTTATCATGATATAAGGAAATAAATAATAACTTTATTATTGCCTCCAGGGCATATTTCCTTCAGTCTTGTCATATGCTTTTTGAATATCCACTATGAAAAGCATAACACTTTGTCTTTTTAGTATGAATAGTGTTTAGAGCCTCATGTAAAATGAACACACCTTCCATGATATATTTCCTTTTAATAAAAGCAATTTGAACATGATAAATCAAAGATCCAACAACCTCGTCAAGTCTCTTCATAAGGATTTTGTGAAAATTTTGAAACTTCACATTCAACAAGCAAAGAATTTTTGAATCTGTTAGACATCTTTAATTTTAGGACCTAGAAAAACGATCCATAGTTCAACTTAACCAAACTAATATACTCCCTCCATTCCTAAATATAAGTCCTTTTAGATATTCTAATATGGACTACATACGAAGTAAAATGAGTGAATCTACACTCTAAAATACGTCATGTAGTCCATATAGAAATATCTAAAAAGACTTATCTTTCGTATGTTGTCCATATTAGAATATCTAAAAGGACTTATATTTAGGAACAAAGTCAGTAGGAAATATTAAAAGCACTAATAATCTGACGACCATATTTGCCATGTGAAAAAAATCCATACTTCAATAAAAGGATTTGCCATGTTCTATAGTGAAAATTGACTTGCAGCATGAAAAATCAACAGAAAAATTTGCCATGCTACAACGATTAATTGCCATGCGTTCGATCTGGATTCAACGTACATGAGGGCATCATATTTTTAACACTATAAATCTGACATCAGATTTATATCGAAATCCATTAATATTGCTTTTGTGAATGTCATCAAGCATTGCAATGTCTGATAGAATTCAACTGAAAATCCATGGACAAATATTACATAGAAAGACAACTTTATGAATTTCTTTCATGGAGAAATCACTAATGACTTTATTAGCCCCCAGATTAGAGATCTTAGCCGCATCAATATCTAAAGAAATATTTGAATCATCAGGTCTACCAAAAAGTTTTTGTCTAGTCCCCCCGTCCGGTGAAAAGTGTACATCTAGAAATTTTAAGACAAATTATGAAATGGAGTAAAAAATGCATTGAGAAGATGCAAGCCACCATCTCTCTCCTCTTTAATTACCCAACCCCCAACAAGCTAAGTTCATGTAGAAAATAAGAAGACTATGTATAGAATGCTACTCTTTTGTGGACAAATTTTAATTGCAAACTTTAAAGTATTGATCTTGATTACCGTGTGATAAAAGAAAAAACTTTAAAATGCATTAGGAAGATAGAAGTACACTCTTTTGTGAACAAATTTTAAACCCACACGTACGCTCTTCACCGGACGGAGGGAGTAGGGCATATCTAGATGTGTCGTAGTTATTGCACATCTAAGTGACACAATCAAGCATAGAAAAGAAAGGAAAAAAAATACCCACACAAATTTCCGCGTAAGATCAATGACATATGACTTAGGACTTAGATGTGTAATATTTATGGCATATCTAGACGTGCTTTAGTAAAATTGTTATAAAATTTGGTAATGTAATCCGTTAGCTTTCTCGAACAATGCTATTTTCTCTCCTTCTGCCAGCGGCTTTAGCATGATAATATATAGTATTATTCCCGCAAAAAAAATAGTATTAGAATCACCCTCCTTAATCTATTTCTCTTTAGAGCTCCGAAGCCATTTCAATTCTTGCTTCTGTCTATCAGCAGCAGTGAGCCCAAAATGCTCAGAGTGCTTATCTATTCCATCAAGTTTACATAAAATACCCCTTTTAACAGCTTTTGAAGATTTGAATTGCAAACTCAATGTTCCTTTCTATATGGAAATCATTATCCTTGCTGCTTGAGCAATCTGGATGTCTAGAAACAACAATGGAAGCACATATATCTTCTTGAGCTCACTTTAGTTGGATTAAGTTATTGCTCAACAACTAGTTTAACTCTCCTTTTGTGTATACATTTTTTCCTTTTCTTATTCGCTAGATTCTTTGGCTTGCCTTAAGTCATCTTGTATATTGTGGAACTTCTACAATTTATAAAAAACGGAGTAGAGCTATGCTCTACTGTTTCGTGTCAACAAAATTAGATGAAAAGAAACACCGACCTCCAATCTGCATCACTCAACTTAGTACACAACCCCCAAACCCTGCGATTATTACAGTAGACAGAAGCAGCGAGTCCTCAACCTCCAAGCACAAAGAAGAGAACAAATCCAAGCAGATTGAAAGAATAAACATTGCAAACAAGCATCATTCCAAAATACTCCACTTTGGAATGATAAGAGGAAATTATCGGCTGCAACTCCAATCAAACACCAAATTTCAGGGACAGATAATTCAACAGAACCAACATTGCAAACAAGTATCATTCCAAATACTCAATTTTGGAATGATAAGAGGAATTTATCTACTGCAACTCCAATCAAACACCAAATTTCACGGATAGATTCAACCGAACCAAGTCACCTTGAACACCAAACCCCAGTTCTCAACTGAACCCTGAATATTTGAGAGACTGGAAGCAACTTACCACCATACCTAAGCCAGGTAAACAAAGGTAATCCAATACTTCAACGAGACTAGAGGAGACACATATGTCTTCAGGACTACATTGCTAAGGCAATCCAATACTTCAACGAGACTAGAGAAGACATATGTCTCCAGGGCTACATTGCTGATGCTTCTCTTGGGTTCAGGAACAGATGATCTTCGTCTTGCCGATACGGATGCACAGATGGAGCTCCTCCCCGTGCAGCATCTCCGGATACACGGGGACCGTGTCGCACTCCGGCTGCGCCAACACATCGAACTCGACGGGGGCCGAGCAGCTCGCCGCCACCTTCTTCTCAAGCTTCAGCCGGCGCGCCTCGTCTGGGCCAGCCACCTCGACGGAGGAGCTGTACACAGGCCCGGTGCCAACGTTACCCCTAACGCACACCACAGTGACGCGGCGGACGCCGCCGGCGCCCCCCACGGCCACGAGGAACACGGCGCCGTCCTCCGCGATCAGGAGGCCGTGGTCCTCGCACTGCTGCTCCGACGACTCCGGCACAGGGACGGCGAACCGGTGGTCCATCCCGTAGGTGATCCTGTGGGCGGTCCAGGCGTGCCGGCCGGACAACTCCGTGAGATGACGCAGGAGGCCCGACGGGGGCCCCTTGTACCCGCACTCCGCGCAAGCGCAGGGCGCCCACGTGCACGCAGTCTCGTGCGCCGCCAGGTCGCGGTAGGCGACGGAGCTGGCGCACCCGAACTTGCGGAACGGGCACGGCACCCTGATGTAGCCGAAGAGGGCGTCCAGCTGGGCGTTGTGGACGAAGACGGCGGCCGGGTCCCCGCCGCACGGGCGGCACTCGTCGGCGCCGCAGTCGCGGCACGCGACGTGCTGCACGCTGGTGCACTGCGGTCGGCGCGACACAAACTCATCAATCAATCAAATCTTGGCCATGACCAAGGCAGGCGGCTTGAAAGGGGAAATGTTTGGGCGCCTCGTTCGATTACCTGGTAGATGGGGGGCCTGAGGGGGCCATGGCAGAGGTCGCAGCGCATCCTGACCTGCTCCTCCTCCTCCTCCGCCGCGGCTATGGCCGCCGCGCCGCGCGCGAGCTCCAGCAGCCCGCCGTTCGCCTCCTCCTCGCGCTCGGATCTGGGCGACGGCAGCGTCTGGGCCGGGACCGGGCTGCGTGCCAGCGGCACCTCGACGCCCGGCTCGCTCTTCCTCGGGCGGCCCGGGCGCCGGATCGCCTCCGGCGGCGTGTTCTTCCTCGGGCGGCCCGGCCGCCGGCCCACTGTCGGCGGCGTCTTCACGTCCGCGGTGCTCTTCCTCTTGCCGCCCATCGCCGGCGGACGCTGCTACGCACCAGATTGGGCGTGGGAACCTCGGCGGAACTGGGGATTTGGGGTTGGCAGGATAGCAATGAAGGCTGGGATCTGGAGAGTTCAAGAAGGACTGGCTGAATCCCCGGCATTTCCTCCTATACGGAGAGAGAAGTAAAGGAGAAGAGCTACCAGCCCACACACGCCTAACGGCCCACTCTCTTTCTCAGGCCCAACGCCCAAGTGGTTAACAGTCAGGTCGTTGCTGCAGCTCACTCTAGCCTCAAAATATACTCCCTATATCCCATAATATAAGAACGTTTTTGACACTAGTGTAGTGTTAATATTTTTTTATATTTTAAGACAGAGGAAGTATTTTAGAAAAAACAGCTCACTCTCATATGACCTTTCACACAGTACGAGAATCCTTTGAACTCACCAAAATACTGACTTTTCGGTCACTAGGTGAATTTATAATCTAAAAGAAAAGCAGTTCAAGTGGAAGCGCAGACAAGCACGTTTTTTTGGCCATCCGACCTTCATCGTGAATCGACGGTGGATCTGCTCCTCCGCGACTGTCACCCAAAGACTGACCGGCACCCTGAGAAGCTCGGTTGTAGGTCCACTTGAGTCCGTTCGAGCTATTTTGGCCCATTCCCCTCTTTGATCCTGTGTAGCTGCCGCCAACCCCTTCTACATGGATCCAGATTACAGGGACGAAGGCGACGTCCTACTGCTCGCCTTGTCTCCTTGCTCCAACTCTCCTCCTCTCTTGGATCCGGGTTGCAGAGGGAGCATCGACGACCTAAGCAACTCCGGTGTGACCGCTCAAGCGTGCGTCATCATTCATGACGTTCATCGAGCGGTTGCTCATCGGTCTTGAGCTCCAACAGCTGAAATTGTTGATAAGAGCGAGCCAACTAACCGTAAAAAGACTTCGTACAGAATGAAAATATAAGACTTAGCCAATGAGTGAAGGACGACGCGGCAAAAGCGTGTCACATTCTAGTATATTCGAAGGCAGGAAGCTAGATGTGTGATTTTGTTGTTGATTATGTGATTTTGTTGATGGAAGTATTGCTGCTCGAGGCAGGATGGCTGGACGAGCTACGGTAGCTTGTTGGGCTGACAATGACATGCATATGATTCCTTGCTGTAGGCTGTAGCAGCATTTCATATAAGAATCTCTAGAATTGAAGCTTGGTTACATATACAGACCACCTGCTCGAAGGGAACTGTCGTCATCTATTTTAGCCTACAAATTGTCCCCATTGTTTTGGTTCGGTGGTTTGTGCCTTGACTGGGAACTATTTGTTATAGTTATACAAAATGTCGCTCCGTCTACTATATTATAATATCAGTCGATGAAGCACACTAATCTGAACTTTCGTCCTATATAAGGTTTGAATAATACTGTGATAATCAGTTTGGGATTTCTTTATGGTCTCATGCTTCCTTTGGTTGTTGCAGGTCTTGTTTGTTTTTTGACTGTTTCTATACCTGCCAAGTCCGACGGTCCAGCATTTTGAGCATGTCATGAAGTTCTTTGTATTGTCATTTATTCACTTAGAGGAACATGCCAAACAAATAGAGACAGATTTTGCAGCTCCTCAAGTGAAGGTCTGAGTTTGATACTCAGAAGTCACCGCATTTTGAAAGTGTGAATCTAAAGCAATGTTTCTTGATTTTGCAATTGATTTACCACAATTGATGAGAAGGTGCACCACTATGAGTGCAATTTTCAGTTTTCAACACTTTTTTTTATGTTTCCTTTTCCTGTCCGGTGATTAATTACTTTATTATATCAAATATTGCTTGCAACAAACTATTTCTTATTTACAATGAAAGTAATTACTTCTTGACTATGTTTGGGAGGGCCGGCATTGACAATAATCCCATAGGCATTTCTGGAGGGCTTTAAAGGTGTTTTATATTTAGGCCATCTACACTGCATTTATTTTTTCAGGTTAAGCATGCGAATGACCAATTTTGTGCTAGCCATCATATGCATCAAATTAGAGGGGCCAAGCAACCTGGCAGACATAATTTTGCGTGTACACTTATATGAATGTTAATGTTATATCCATCTATCCCTTCTTTCTAAGTGATGCTATCAAAAAATTGTTTGACACAACTATCACTAAGAACTTGATTTCCAACCTTTTTGAATAATATCATATATAGAGATGAAAATCGGTGACCTCTGGCGTGCCATTGATTTTATCCAAAAATCATCATGTGTAGAGATGAGCTCATTTTGTGATTTTCCATGACCATATTTCTATAAGTAGGCCATTTTTTGTAACGGAAAATAGTAGGAAATTATCTTATTGCGACATGCCATTATTGTGTCCGAGTGAATGTTATGGATTCTAAGGGTGGTGGTTCAAGATATCACCCATAAGCTACCATTATCTTTGTTCTGGGTAAGAATTGCTTCAACAAGTATATTTATTCTAAATGAAAGTTACAAAGTTATTCATTATATTTTAAGGAATTGGTGGCAACACATCTTCATCTGCACTTGCGAGTGGTGGACACCGGAGAACGGAGCGGGAAGGAGCACGCCGACGGCGATGACGCAGCTCCAGTGGAGACACCAGCTACCGCCAGACCCAAATCTGCATCCAATCGTTTACAAAAACCAGCCGCCAACTGCTTTGAACCCGACGAGGCCCAACTCTTGGTAGAGAACTTCTTAACAATGGACTTCTTCTTCTTGCTAATAGGGCACAAGGCGGACGGGACGGGTGAAGGAGGACATCCACAATCCCAGAAAGCGAGGGAGAGGCAGGGTACACCACCAATAACAGAGGGCCTAAACCCTTCTCTGCAGAAACAACATGGTCCACAGGGGCACTCTCAGAAGCAGAAACATCAGAAGGCTGGGGCGCCATCCACTCGGTCGCTCCGCCAGTAGGAGCACTTGATTTAAACATGCCACAAACCTTGGAACCCAGGCCCTCCCATTCAGAGTTGGTAAATGGGGCTGCAGAATCGCCCATGGCATTGCTATCACCATGGGCGTCGTCATCACGTGGTGCAGGAGGAGAATGATTGGGAAGAGGTGGTGGGGGTGCCTGCTGGGCGGCCTAACCTTCGACTGGACACGGATCCGATAGGAACTTGCAGAGGGGAAGACATCAATAGAGCCATGAACATGAGCCGGATCCAGACACCAAATCTTCATACGAGCAAGGCCAAGATGATCAAGAGAAGATAGATGAACCTCAATTGGCTTACCAACCAGTTCACCAAACTCCATCAGGAACGAAGAGGTGCGGAGCCCCGATGGAAAATCATCCAACATAACCCAAACATCTGATAGAGAAACTACAACCTGAGCGCCACCCTCCGTCGCTTTGACAGAGACCACAATCTGATTGAGGGGCAAAGTGAAACTAGTGCAAGAAGAAACCATTTTCAAACTTTCCTTAGATGGAAGACAACTGTAAATTCCGACTCAGAAACCCGCTAAACTTGCCAGTCCCATCCCTCAAGCCCCCACTCTTTGAGCTCATCCATGATGACTTGGCAGGAGATTACTTGGGATTTCACAGATATGATGGCAGCGTTGGAAAGAGCAGACGCCAGAACAGCCATAACCAGACCACCTTCCAAAAGCAAAGAAGGAACAACCCGGAAGACCAAGGCCAAAGTGCTTGAAGGCCGGCGGATTGCAGCGGTTCTGGCAATCCACAATAAGATGGCCCTCGGCCCGACAGATGAGGCAAAATGGGGGGAAGGTGCATCGGGATTGGAAGTGCCCCAGTTGATGGCAAGCAAAGCAGGTGAGTGTAGAAGAAGGACCAGATGAGGAAGGGGGGATTGAACCATGCAGAAGGGGAGGAGGAGGAGGGAGGATGCCATCACCAGCGGCAAGAGAGGAGGAACCGGGATCCGAAGGAGTGACCTTGTGCACCTTCTAGGGATAGGAAGTGAAGGAAATATGCCCTAGAGGCAATAATAAAGTTATTATTTATTTCCTTATATCATGATAAATGTTTATTATTCATGCTAGAACTGTATTAACCGGAAACATAATACATGTGTGAATACATAGACAAACAGTATGTCACTAGTATGCCTCTACTTGACTAGCTCGTTGATCAAAGATGGTTAAGTTTCCTAGCCATTGACATGGGTTGTCATTTGATTAACGGGATCACATCATTAGGAGAATGATGTGATTGACTTGACCCATTCCGTTAGCTTAGCACCCGATCGTTTAGTATGTTGCTATTGATTTCTTCATGACTTATACATGTTCCTATGACTATGAGATTATGCAACTCCCGTTTACCGGAGGAACACTTTGTGTGCTAGCAAACGTCACAACGTAACTGGGTGATTATAAAGGTGCTCTACAGGTGTTTCTGAAGGTACTTGTTGGGTTGGCGTATTTCGAGATTAGGATTTGTCACTCCGATTGTCGGAGAGGTATCTCTGGGCCCTCTCGGTAATGCACATCACTTAAGCCTTGCAAGCATTGCAACTAATGAGTTAGTTCCGGAATGATGTATTACGAAACGAGTAAAGAGACTTGCCGGTAACGAGATTGAACTAGGTATTGAGATACCGACGATCGAATCTCATGCAAGTAACACACCGATGACAAAGGGAACAACGTATGTTGTTATGAGGTCTGACCGACAAAGATCTTCGTAGAATATGTGGGAGCCGATATGAGCATCCAGGTTCCGCTATTGGTTATTGACCGGAGACGTGTCTCGGTCATGTCTACATAGTTCTCGAACCCGTAGGGTCCGCACGCTTAACGTTTCGATGACAGTTATATTATGAGTTTATATGTTTTGATGTACCGAAGGTTGTTCGGAGTCCCAGATGTGATCACGGACATGCCGAGGAGTCTCGAAATGGCCGAGACATGAAGATGGATATATTGGAAGCCTATGTTTGGATATCAGAAGTGTTCCGGGTGAAATCGGGATTTTACCGGAGTACCGGGAGGTTACCAGAACCCCCCGGGAAGTTAATGGGCCATAGTGGGACTTAGTGGAAGAGAGGAGAGGTAGCCAGGGCAAGGGCCGCGCGCCCCTCCCTCCTAGTCCGAATAGGACAAGGAGAGGGGGGCGGCGCCCCCCTTTCCTTCTTCTCCTCCACCTCTTTCCCCCCAAGTCCTAATCCAACT